CTGAGGACCTAGGAGCAGGCCTCTCTGGTGGAGCCCAGGCAGAAGGGTTCTCTTCATGACCGCACCTGGGGTCTGTGGCATGGACCCAGTCAGGGTTCCGATAAAACACAGGATGCTCACCTCCCTTTGAAATGAAACAATGAATCATTTTTAAGCACATGTATATCCCAAATATTACATGGGACAAACTTATGCTAAAACATTCTTCATTGCTTATTCATCCCAACGCAGACTGAATATTTGGAACGAGCCTGCTTGCCCTCTCCCACACCTGCTTTTCTGGTAGGAGTGCCAAGAGCAGAGCAGAAGCTCTGGAGTCAGCACCCCTGGCTTACACTCAGCCAGCTGCCCACACTCTCATCAGCTCTGGGACCTTGGCCAGATGAGTCACTCTGTGCCTCAGTGGACTTACCTGTTCATGGAGATAATTATGGAACCTACTTCACAGTCACAGTTATGCTGAGGTAGTACAGTACAGTAGTTGGAATCATGTCTGGCACATAGACGTTCTCTATAAGCATGGGGTTATTAGTATTATGTTATTGTTTGGTGGTGATGGTGGTGGTGGTGGCAGTGTTGCCGAAGAGAAGGTACAGAGTTCCCAGGATTGTTTTCCAGAGAAAGGGAGCAAGAACTAGAGGAAGAGGCTTCTGGGATAGAGGCTCAGGAGGGAATGTGATGGTTTTCAGAGCAGGCCATGCAGGCCAGAGTGGGGCAGAAGAAAAGAGACAGAGGGGCAGAAAGGGCAAGGACAAGGACAAGACAGAGATGATGAAAGATGCTCTTTTGGCCTAGGAATGTGAGAGATTAAAACATGCTAGAGGGGGGTAAAAGAAGAGCATCCATGCATGTGCCAAGAGGCATTGTGATAAAGAATGGATGCAGGCCTGTAATCCCAGCGTGCTGGCAAGCTGAGGCAGGAGGATTTGCATGTTCAAGCCCAGCCTAGGCATCTTAGTGATTTAGAGAGTTCTCCATCTCAAAATAAAAAAATGAACTGGGAATGCAACTCAGTGTGAAGGCCCTGAGTTCAGCCCCCAGCAATACAACAAAAAGAATATATATTTGTGGTGTCAAATTACCTGGATTCAAATTCTGCCTCAGTAAGCTTGGACAACTTGCTTGACTTATTCCCTGCCTCCGTTGTCTTATTAACAAAGTGGACATAAAAACACATGCTTCAAAGGGTTATGAGAATAGAATGAGTTAAAAACATGTAAATTATAAAAGTGCCTGACAAATAGTAAGTATCTTGACCCTTAGTTAGTGAACTGTGAGTCCTTTAGGTATTTGACAGCGAAAATTTTTAAACTTAGAATTCTTGGTTAGACTGTAGTTAGTGAGGAGCTACAGCTCAGCCCTGGGACTGGGTCACCTACATACCCTGAATCAGTGTCTTTTTGTAATTCCTGCTGAAAAGAGGGAGAGAGTAATAGTAATAGTCAAGGTTGTTGTGATCATTAAATGAATTAATACACATAAGAGGTGGGAATTAAGTAAATACTAAAACCATGTTGGTGGTTCTCATTATTACTGTAATGAGTGAAATAAGTCAGGGTAGAAAAAGCAACTCTCTGCTGAGCTTCTCAGAGTTGACTTTGCACACTGCTGTTCTCAACCACTCTATTCTATTTTCTTTTCTTAGAATGCCCGTCAGGATCTGTCAAGGTTATCCTGGCCTCATCAAATGAAATGGGATGAGCTCCTTCTTTTTTCTTCTCTGAGTTTGTGCAAGGTGGTGATGTGTATTCTGTCATTGTTTGGAAAAATTACCATTGAAGTCAGCAGGGTTTGGCATGATTTTGTGTGTGCTGGGTTTGTTTTTATTTTTGGTACTGGGGATCAAACTTGGGATCTTGTGCTTGTGAGGCAGGTGGCGGCACCACTGAGCCAAATCCTGGGCCCTGAGGGAAGGTTTTAATGATTGTTTCTGTGTCTTTAGTAGGCACTGAAATCCCTAGCTTTTCTATTTCTTTTTTCTGATAGTTGATTAAGTTATGTTTTTCAAGAAGTTTGTTTCCTCTAAGTTGACAGAATTAGAGGAGTAAATTTTCAAGATTCCTCTATTGATCTTGGGATTGAAGAGTACAGTAGAGAAATAAATACCCACATAATACAAGACAATGGAAGGTTTCATCTTGGGACTCCATAAAAACCTTTATTTACTCATGTTCAGTTCAAGTAGCCCCTCAGAGAAGTCTTCCCTGCTGTCCCCCTTTGTCTTCTAAGCTAAGTTAAATATCCACCCCCAGATGTCCTTTAGTGAACTTAGAGCTACATTTGCTACTGGACCTTTTGCTCAGTGCTGTACTTGTGAATCTGCAGCAACAGCCACTGACACTTTGAATTCCTTGAGGGAAAATTCACTTACTGTGATTCTTGAGATTCTCTGCATCCTGAGTCTCCACCCTCGGGCTCAGCAAAGAGTAAAGATCATAATCCATCCATCAACCCACAGATCCATCCACCCATCCATCTGTCCATCCCTTGTCCACTGACTGATACCAAGCCCCTACACTGTTGGGCACTGTGCTACCTGAGATCAACACAAGCAAACAGGGACCTGCTTCTCATGGACCAGTCATTGTAGTTGGGGAGACAGTAAGCAAAGGAGGTTGAATCTTTGCAGGTTACAATTTGATAGCATTTCTAAGCTATTTTTCATGGAACGGAAGTTGTGTAGAATTTTAAGGGATATTTAAGTCCATGGACAAATGTATTTTGGAAACACGGGGCTAAACAAAGACAAATAAATGTGATCGCATGATTTGTGAGAGCCTTCAACGTATATTTATGAATTTTAAAGGTAGTGGTGGGAAGAACAATTTGCTGGCAACTTATCTGGCCTTGGCATTTCCTTGAGAATACCTCGTGTGGCCTGAGATGACACACTGAAGTGTCTGATACAGATATTCCTTATGGCCTCTTGCTGGGCTCCATGCGGCTCATGCACCTGCCAGTGATCCTATCCATATAGGGTGTCCCCGAGTACTTCTCTAAGTCTGGAGTCACAGCTCCTTTTATGCTAGCACCACACTACTCAAGAAATACCTATTTCCACCTGACCGAAGCATTTGTAAGTAATGCATGTGTTCCATAAACAAAGCTGGCCCTTCTTAGCTGGATTTGGCTCAGATAAGCCCCAAATCCATCTGGAGAATTTGACTCAAATGCAAAAGAAGCTTCCAGCACAGGCAAGAAGGCAGCCCTTTCCTTCCCTGCACCAAGTTGACCTGAAGTCCTCGCTTAGAAAGATGTCATCATCTCCAAGAAGGCATCTGTTGTTGGTTGATTCTCCAGAAGGATCTCACACAAAGCTTTGATTGTGAGGAATTTTTTGTTGGGGGAGAATGAAGGTAACACAATTGTGTGAACAAAAAGGTATCTGCTGGGACACCAGGGTCTTAACATACAGGGTACCTCTGGGAGATGCTGTTCAACATGCCTCTGTTGTCCCACATGAAAGGCAACCCAACTTCTTGGCTGGGAGGGGTTCCTAGGAGTGGTGTTTTCCTGGATGTATCAGCCACACATGCTTCAAAGGCAAGAGGAAGCTGCAGGGGTCACTGGTGTGACCAGGACTGGTGAGAGCCAAAGGAGGAGTATCTAGTCCAGTTGAGCTGCTATAATGAGATGGCTTAGACTGGATAATATATTTACAAACAGAAACTTACTGCTCACAGAGCCTCCAGAACTCTACTTACTAGCCTGATAAATGTTTAAGATCAAGGCCCTGACACATTCAGTGCCCAGGGAGGCCTTGATTCTTGCTTCAAAGATGGTGCCTTATTGCTGTGTTGCCACGTGCTAGGTCATGTGGTGGAGAGAGGGCCCGTAGGGCTCTTTTAGAGGGGCACTAGTCCCATTCACAAGGGCCAAGCTCTCATGACCTAGACATCTCAGAGCCCACCTCTCCTTATCACCACAGAGGGAACTGGCTATCAACTTGGGGGCAGAGAAAGATATTCGTACCATTATCAGGAGTTACTGAGGATCAGCGCTTTGCAGATTCCACTGGCTGGCTCAGTTCCCATGGCTCGCAGTACCATGCTCTATTTCAGACCCTGTCTCCTTAGAGGTAAATGATTTGCTTATAGGACTGTCTCCTTGGGCAGAGGAAACCAGTGAGCCAAAGGTGGCCAGGCCTCAGAGCCTGAATGCACAGGTGTCTTATAATAGACCTGAGGTGAAAGGGAAATAAATGCCTCATACTCATGCCTTTTTTTCAAAGTGCAAAGATGTGGAACTGTCTAAGGGAGCCCAAGAGTTCCTTAATAGTACACTCATACTCTCCAAACTGGGTTATCTGTTGGTCTTCCAGGGTACACAGGTGAGTGTGGCAGTTGAGTGATTGGTGGCTATTGGTTATGGTCCGTATTTGCAGAGCACACACTGGGTCAGGTCTTGCGCTCAGTGCCTGTATGGATGTGTTAGGTGCTCTTGGGGTTACGTCCATGTCCCCACGGGGCTCACCATCCCGCACAGTCCAGCAGCTTCTTGATGCATCCTTGGGGGCTTCGCTGGCTGAACAGCATGCTTAGCCTGCACGTGTGGAGGCCTGAGGTACCCAGTGATGGCGGATGAAGCCCAGCATCTCACCTCCCAAGAGACCTCTGAGGTGTGTTGTCCCAGGGTCCCCGTCAGGATGCTGCTGCAGCCGCCCACAGTGGTGACCTTCTCATGAGCACGTGTCATGTGCACTTTCTTCTGTTTCACCTCCCCACTGCCTTTCCATTACTTTCTGCCCCCACCGAGTAAACTGTTCTTGTTTCCATCCTTGCCTCTTGGTTTATTTCTAAGACAAGGTGGGAGGTCTTTCATTTAATCCCCTGGCAGTCCTCTGGATGGGCAGAAGTAGCTCCCCTATTTAATAGCTGAGCAAAAGGAGGCTCAGAGGTCAAAGCCGTGGACACTGCCCCATCCACCGCTGTCCCGGGAGTGGGCCTGCGGTGCCCGCCCCGCCCCCTGCCCCGCTGAGCCCGAGCCCGTGTCTCCCGCAGGAAGGCCGCTGCCTGTTCATCATCCTGCTCATGGCGGTGTACTGGTGCACGGAGGCCCTGCCCCTGTCGGTGACCGCGCTGCTGCCCATCGTCTTCTTCCCTTTCCTGGGCATCCTGCCCTCCCACAAAGTCTGCCCCCAGTACTTCCTCGACACCAACTTCCTCTTCCTCAGTGGCCTGATCATGGCCTGTGCCATCGAGGAGTGGAACCTGCACCGCCGGATCGCCCTCAAGGTCCTGATGCTCGTTGGGGTCCAGCCGGCCAGGTGAGCGGGGTCACAGCCCACCCTCGAGGGGAGGCAGAGGGCCCACCCTTCTCGGCTTCCGGGTTCAGTCATTAGGGCCAAGAAGCTCATCATCCCCGCCATCATGGACTCGTTCATTCTCAGCTACTGAGGGAACCCAGGTGTGGGCCGGGCGCAGGGCTTGGTCACCTGTGCGCAGCTGTCCTCACGGTGCATAAGGGATGACTCGCAGAGGGGTCAAGATGCTGACCCCAGCCCATGAGCCCAGAAAGGTGATGCCGCCGGCGCAAAGGCAAAGCCTTGGGAGCTCCTGCATCCACGACTCCCCTGAAAATAGACCTGGGAGGCCCAGTGTGGTGATTTCAGGGCAGTGTGACCAGGCTGCTCAGGCTGTAAATGACGGCCTGTGAAATGGCGATGTCTCAGGACCTGTTTCGTGGAGTCGGTGTGGGGACCACCGACCGAGAGCAGGCAGCTCGCTCAGCTTCAGGCGGCAGGAGGTGGCCCCCGTGACCATCCTTGTGTGCCACTCACCTGTCCAGGTGGTGGGGGCTGCAGTGTCGGGGAGATGCAGAGGGGGTGTGCGGATGGCCTTGGAGAGGGAGCCGGGACCCAGTTCTACAAGGCCTTGGGCCCTCAGGCCAGGATTTGAACTCTTATCCTCAGAGGATTGGGTTTATATATCATTCAAGCCTGGCTGTGCAGATGTGAGCAGGGAATGAGAGGAAGGAGGGAAGGAGGCTGAGAAAGCCAAGAGCAAGACCGCAGGATCCTTGTGCCCGGCTGTTGTCCTGAGACCCGTGTTGTCAGGATTTGGAGACAAGGGAGGGAAAAATATCAGGTTTGCACTGGCTTCAGAATGATCCGAGCTTGGATACCAACACGCAGTTCACCTAAATGTACCGAGCCAAGCATTCCTTAACTCTAAAGTAACCCAGACTACTGGTTCCCACTTTGCCACTAACTTGCCTGCTCTGGGCCTCAATTTTCCATCTGTAGAAGGAACAGGTTGAATTCCTCTGGGATGGGAAGCTGGGACCAGAGGATGTCCTGGGCCCAGGGATCTGGATTCATCTCTAGCTCCCTCTGTCGTGCAGGCTTATCCTGGGGATGATGGTGACCACCTCATTCATGTCCATGTGGCTGAGCAACACTGCCTCCACCGCCATGATGCTGCCCATTGCCAGTGCCATTCTGAAGAACCTCTTTGGGCAGAAGGAGGCTCGGAAGGACCTCAGCAGGGACCGTGAAGACAACAGAGGTGAGGCTATGCAAAGGCCCTGGGGCCTGCTCCACCAGAGTGGAGGGGTGGGAGGAGGGATGCTGGGCAAGGCCAAGGGAAGGAAATATTTATTGGGTACCTACTGTGTATTAAGTATTTTATCTAAAAAAATAATAATAGGATTAGATTTTAAACCATGGTATCTTGGTTTTCAAATTTTGCATTTAATGGACATTTACTACATATTAATCAACAAGTTAAGCTTTTCACATATGTTGGTTCTTTTCACTTACAAAATGGCCCTTTGGAATAGGTACTATAATTAAAATTTGTTTGAAAGCATTTGAACAGGTGCTCGACCTCACTACTATCCAGAGAAATGTCAAATGAAACAATGAGATTTAAATCAATGAGACAGTGAAAATAAGAAATTTGGATGCATTGCAGGACTTCCTATTGCTGTGACCAAAGAACCTGACACGCTCAGTGTAGAGGGAAGGATTTATGCTGGCTCACAATTTCAGAGGTTTCGGTCCACGGTTGCTCGGCTCCAAGGTAGGAACGTAGTAGCAGAAAGGCACGGAGAAAGAACGCTTCTTACTTCATGGCACCCACGAAGCAGAGGGAGGATGGAAAAGCCAGGGAAAGGACTGGAACCAGATACTACACTCTCCGGTCCACACCCGGTAACCTATTTCCTCCATCTGGGTGCCGCCTCCTCCGAGCCCATTCAGCTAATTCACCCATTGATGAGGTCGGTGCTCTCATCAGCCCCTCCTGAGAACACTGCTGAACTGGGCCGAGCCCTGAGTACACAAGTCCCTGGGGGTCACTCCACATCTAAACCCTAACACTGACTAATGCTCAGTGTCAGCAGGAGCAGGGACCATGGGGATTATTCTCTTGTGCATCGCTAGGAAGAGTGCAGTCTGGGTCAGGCTTTCTGAAGGGCACCTGCGAGCCTTTAATCCAGTGAAGTGTGCTTGTGCCCTGTGATCTAGCAGTTCTGCTCCTCGATGAAAATGCTTGAGGAATTCTAAAAAAAATTTAAAAAAAACAAAAACAAAACAAAAAACACAAAAAACCAAAAGCCCAAGTGGAGACGTGTGTGGTGACATTCACACAGCATTTTTTTGTTTTTATGAGTTGGGAATTGGAGGTCATGTGGACACCATAGCTAGTAAAGGGGGAGGAGGGCTGGGGTTTTAGCAAAGTGGTTCTGCTGCCTGCCTTGCAAGCGCAAGGTCCTGAGTTCAATCCCCAGTACCGCCCCCCAAAAAAGGAATAAAAAAAAACAGGTGAAGAGGGAGCATGCGAATAGTTACATAACTGTGTCTCACAAAATGGTTATGGTCTGAGAGAAATCAGAATACAATGCCAATATGTAACTTCATATACTCATGCACAAATGGCGACACACTTTGCAAGAACACACACACACACACACACAGAAAAGCTACACATTAAAAACATCTGAAAGGCTGCTATGGGAAGGGTGGCAGGAAAAATGGGAATGGAAGGAACTGAAAATAGATACAAAATTAAAATAGAAGTGGGCCATGTGTGACCAATAGTGAAAATGTACCATGATCTGAGGGTTTGAGTCCCTTGACCCTCTGAAATTGCGCGCTTAGCAAAACAAAACACAAGTAGCTGCCATGTTTTTAGATGATGGGATGAAAAGAGTGGGGAGTGGGGAAAAGCAACTAACTTTTCAAGGTCACACAGCAGGCAAGGGGCTATGCCTGCCTTTGAACCCAAGCTATGTGATTCATCTCCTACCCATGAAGCCAGCAGTACCTGTGAGAATTCTTTTGCCTGCAAGTGAAAGATTGTCTTCGAGTAGCTTAAAAACTAGGGATTTTCTTCAGGTATCAAGAAGTCAGAGAAAGGGAGTTTCATGAACCATTCAGAGGTACCACAATGTCAGGACTTTTGTTAAAAACTGTTATTCTTTTGGCCTTGCTCTCACATCCACATTGAAATGCTTTGCTTTTGATTGATAGCACTGTACCTTTAAAGGAAGCTTTAAACTCACACTTATGTGGGAAGAAACTTCTACCTTACCTCCAGCATCAGTTCTTTTGCTCTTTTAGTAATAGAACCCCCGCATGGGCACAGAAGAGAGGCAGAATTTCCCAGCCACCGCTGAGGTTGGGTGACTAAGTGTGACTGAGGGGACCTATGTGGAAATGGCGTGTGCAGCTTCCTACTTCCGCCCTTCCTGCCGTTCACTTCCTATCCTGTGGATGTGAATATGGTGGTGGGAGTGAAAGATGCCACCGGGGACCCAAGGATGGAAGATGGCACATCAGTCCTGGTAGATTTGTGTGATTTGCTCTAAGCAAGCATTATCCACGAAACCATGAATTGGTGGGCTAGTTATGTTCTTTTCAAATACGAGGTGTGATAAAAAAATACGCTGGACGTTTAAATTTACAAACTCACCACAGTAATGATATACTGCTACTAATGCCCCTCAAAATAATCCCCTCACTTTATTTTTTATCTTTATTAAGTTTTTTGGAACATTTCAGGTATCAGTACAGTTCCATTCATCATTGGCATCTTATACCTTTACCTGACTTATCTTGATTCTTATTTTTCCCCGTTCCCCAGCCCTCCCTTCAGCCCCTCCACCCTTCCCTGTTTAAAAAGACACTGTTTCCATGTTTTTCCTTTTGACATATTTTTTTCTTTTCCTCCACCCCTCCCACTTCCTCTACTCTTTTAGACCTTGTCTTCCTATTACATAATATCAATTATACATTTTTATTCTTATTAACACTTTTAGTTTTTCACACCAGAGAAATGATTTGGTATTTACACATGTGTGACTGATTAATTTCACTTGAGTATGGCCTCCCTGTGCATCCATTTAGCTATAAATGCCTCTAGTTTCTTGTCCTTTATGGCTGAGTAGTGCTCCATTTTATTAACACACACACACACACACACACACACACACACACTCATCTTTATCCAGGCTCCAGTTGATGGGTGATTGGGCTGTTTCCAAATTTTAGCTATTACAAACTGTGCCGCTTATAAACATGGGTGAGCATATATCAGCATATTCTTTAGGGAAGTTACCCAGCAGAGGAATAGCTGGGTCAAATGGGACTTCTAATCCTAGTTGTTTGCAGTATCTCCATATTGATTTCCACAGTGGTTGCACCAGTCTGCACTCCTACCAACAGTGAAGAAAGATTCCTATCTCCCCACAACCCCACCAGCATTTGTTATTGGTTGATTTCTTTCAAACCATTGAAAGAAATCTATTTCAACCAATTGGTTGATAGCAGCCATTCTTTCGGGGGTGAGGTGGAATCTCAGTGTTTTTTTCATCTGTATCTCTCGAATGACCAGTGATGTCGAACATTTTTTCATATATTTACTTGCTGCTTTTACTTCTTTGTCTGAGAAATGTCTGTTCATTTCAGATGCCCATTTTTGAATTGGGTCTTTATATTTGGGGATTCTGATCTTTTTGAGTTCTTCATATATTCTACATAGTAGACCTTTGTCTGAGCAACAGCTGGTGAAAATTTTTTCCCACATTGTGGGCTGTCTCTTAACTCTGCTTATGATTTCTCTGGCAGTGCAGAAGCTTTTAAAAAAGATGAGATCCCAATTGTTGATTCTTTGTGCGAGTTCCCGTGCTACTGAGGATTTGTTCATAAAGTCTTTTCCTATGCCAATGTCTTGAAGGGTTCTACCTAACTTATCTTCCAGCAAGTTTAGTGTTTCTGTTTTAATATTTATATCTTCAATCCACTTGGATTTTAGTTTAGTGCATGGTTAAAGATACAGGTCTAGTTTTAATATTTGACAAATTGAAATCCACTTTTCCCAACACAATTTATTAAAGAGGCTATCCTTCCAGTGAGGATGATTGGCTCCTTTGTCAGAGATGAGCTAGCTGAGTATGTCAGGAGTTGTTTCTGCATCTTCTAATCTGTTCCACTGATCCTCAGGTCTGTTTCTTTGCCAGTACCATGCTGTTTTTATCACAGTGGCTTTGTAGTAGTTTCAAGTTGGGGATTGTGATACCCCCTGCCATGTCTCTGTTGCCTAGAATTGCTTTTGCTATTCTAGGTCTCTTCTGATTCCAAATGCATTTTTGGATTGTTTTCTCTAGTTCTGTAAATTATACTGTTAGGATTTCAATGGAGATTGTATTGAATCAGGGTAGCAGTTTTGGGAGTATGGCCATTTTTACTATATTGATTCTTCCTACCCAGGAACAAGGGATGTCTTTCCATTTTTTTATATCCTCTTCAATCTCGTTTTTTCAGTGTTATAGTTCTTAATGTAGGTCTTTTGTTTCCTTTGTTAGATTCCTAGATGTTTCATTTTTTTAATGCCATTGTGAAAGGGATTGTTTCACTAATTTCACTCTCAATGAGTCTGTTATTTTTGTACAAGAAGGTTATTGATTTTGAGTGTTTACCTTGTATCCAGCTACTTTACTGAATCTGTCAATTAAGTCTGGAAGTCTTTTGGCAGAGTTTTTTGGGTCTTCTATGTAGAGTATCATATCATCAGCAAATAATGACAGTTTAACTTCTTCCTTTCTTATCTTTATTGCTATTATTTCTTTCTGTTATCTAATTGCTGTGGCTATAGTTTCCAAAACTATATTGAACAGGAGTGGTGATAGTGGACATCCTTTTCTTGTTCCTGATTTTAGCTTAAAGGTTTTCAGTTTTTGACCATTTAGTACGATGTTGGCTGTTGGTTTTCATAGATAGCCCTTATCAGGTTGAGATAAAGACCATCTATTCCAATTATCTGCAGGGATTTTTATCATGAATGGGTGTTGAATTTTGTCAAATGCTTTTTCTGCATCTATTGAGATGATCATATAGTTTTTGTCCTTGACTCTGTTATTATAGTGTATTACATTTATTGATTTACATATGTTGAACCATCCTTGCATCCCTGGAATAAATCTGACTTGGTCAGAGTGTATGATCTTCTTGATAATCTCCTGTATTCTGTTTGCCAGTATCTTGTTGAATATTTTTGCATCCATGTTCATTAAGGAGATTGGCCTGTAGTTCTTTTTTTTTTTTTTAAGTTGGGTCTTTCCCTGGCTTTAGAATCAAAGTAACACTTGCTTCTAGGAATGAATTTGGAAATATTTCTTCCCTTTCAATTTCCCCCTCACTTTGAACACATCCCATTGTCCTTGCCACTTTATGATGTCCTCTTTCATGAGTGTTATTTTTTTTTAATGGCTGTCTCAATGTCACGAGTTGCTTCAAAACATTTACAGCAATTTCTGTCAAGTGAAAACATCATGCTGTGTCCTCATCCACCGTATTGACCAGATCTGGCACCGTGAAACTTCTGTGTCTCCCTGAAAGTTAAAATGACCATGGAAGATAAATGTTTTTAATTAATTCATACATCAAGGCAGCCATAATAGTACCACTAAAGATACTCATAAAAGAGGACTTCTAGAACTGCTTCACAAAGTGCAACAATGGTGGGATAAGGATGTTTGAAGCGAGGAGGAGTATTATGACAAGAATTAATGGCAATGTCTT